AATAATATTAAAAGTGTTTCATGTGAAATTTTATTAAAAATTATGCACATTACAATTAGTACATCCTTAATTAATGAAATAAAATACATTGATATAAAGACAATCATATAAACTATTAAGTATAAATTATATAAAATAGAAATGTGGTAACCATTGGAATTAAATAATAAATAGAAAATTTAAATAAATAATAAAAACAAATATAAACATAAAACGAATATAAATAATAAAAAATAACTATTATTTAAAGGAAAAATCACAGTCATATCACAGAAGTTACGAAAGGATACACTAAATTTAAATAAAATTGTTAGTAAAATTGTGGTTATAAAAAAATCTAATTGTACAACAAGACAGTTGGTCGGATCTTCAGCTCTCAAGGCCTACAGCTTCTTATATTGCATGTAATCTAAAACAAAAAAAAATATCAGCAGCATCGAATTCAGGGAAAATAGCGAAGAGTGAGAAATGTGTTTCGGGTGCTAAAGAAAAAGCAAATTTATTTAGACGTGATTTCAAAGTGCTAGTGAAACTATTATCATGAAAATGTACTTCACAAAGCCTCAGCTGTTTAGATGTATGGGACAAACCTAAAATATCGAACCACCTTTTTTCCGCACAATATCGGAAGGAAATTTAAAAAAATGCTTTTGAAGATTTTTATCCGAAGAAGTAGAAAAACAAGCTATTGCACCTTGGTGATGCACATTTATGAACCTTTCTTTGCATTAGGGTTGACATTTTAAATAAGCAAACACAATTAGAAATAAAAAATATAAAAACTTACCAACTTAGGTTATACACAATAATGGCGTCTACACTAGTTACGAGTCACGAAACATTCTAAAAAATACAACTCGACTCGACTGTCGACAAGAACGGCACAGAACGGTAATAATTTTCGATAGCAGCGCCTCTCGAAGGATAGTAGGGAATTATCGCGTGGTCTGATATTTCCTATGCTTTAAACAGTCTCTTTTATTTTGTCTATGGTTGTAAAGGATATTTTTTGGATTCAACATTTAGATTGCTAGAGATTGTCACAATTTGGATGTTTACAGAGCTTATATTGAAGTAAACTATTATAAACATCTTCATTCAACTAGATAACGCCAATAACACAAGTCGAGTTTCCAGACCTTGTAGTATACGATCGTGCTTCTGTTTATTGGCCAATTCTTTGCACCGTTTTCGTTTTAGTGATTTTTTTTAACATATAAACAGATAATAGTACTAAATAGTACCTATTTTGTCTACGGTGTATGTACATACGACAATTCTCTACTCAATTTCCTCGACCTTTTACCTGTTATATCAATTGAGCCGATTTAGGGTTTGTGATTGGTCATCCTCACATAGGGTAATCCCAGATAAAGAGAGGAATATTTGGCAACGTCGCATTTTCCACAAATTCCACAGCACAGAGCTTTTTTACTTCTTTCTTCACTGGAAGTCTGAATCTGAACTCCCTGTATCTGTTCGAGTGCCTTACTAAATTAAAACGTAGTGAGAAATTAATTCATCGAGATTAGTTACTGTTTCAGTTGTGTTAATTGGTTCACCGGAAAAATTGCAAAGGTCTGTATAATTATTACATAAATTATAAGTTTATTTAGGTATTAAATAGTTAAAATATCGATAAATATTGTTTTTATTAAATCATCAATATCGTAGAAATGGCTTTATAAAACACAATTGTCTTTTATATACTGAAATAAATGATTATTTTAATTCACTTTAAATATAATTGGAGGACACTTCTGAACTATTCAAAGACTAAAAGAAGGAATTCAATTTTTTATAATATTTTCGTTAGTAAATTTTCTCATAAAAAAATGGCGACTCGGTAGGTAATTAAAAAAAAAAAGAAACCAAATATCGAGTCACGTACAGTTTTGCTTATAATGCAAACTAAACAGGAAGATGTATTTTTGCTTAATAAACTATTTCTTTATTTTCAACAATAAGTTGTATCGATTATTTCGTTTATTCAAGTTGATCGTTAAATATTCGGTGAAGCACCGGCAAACATGTTGCTTTTTTTATTAGAAAATTCTATTTTTATTTTATTTTCCCAACACAAGCTTTTTCGCCACAGCCACAATTATGGTACGGAAAAATCATTTTGTAGCCAGTCTAGCAGGCGGTCTACCGTAATTTTTGCGGTCTACCCATACATATTTCGTCGTCCAAGTAAATTTAAATACTTTGACAGGTGTCATATTTTGCAAAATTGATGTACTTGGTTGTGAACCATGTCTCACAAAACTGCAAATATTAAATTTGTCCATTTAAACTTTTTTTTTTCTATATCCAAACAGATTTCTGTATAGTAAACATCGAAAGAAAAACTCAATCTCCATAATTCTGATTCCTCCGCAATTCTCAATAAATTGAATTACTTATTTGCTCTTCCAAACATAAATTATTATATACTCGTAATACTGGGTGTCCCAATGAAAAGTAGCCCCTTTAAATACAAAAATTAATGGGCTAATAATTGTTAAACGCCTAATCATAAAACTTGCGGTTTTCGAAGATAGACTTTTTGTTAGAAAAACACAAAAATTTCGTATCGCCTGTACAGGGTGTTTTATAAAAATCTCCTCTTTTAAATTCACATTAACCAAATTTTATGAAATAGGACATTTTCTTTTGTAGAATAATACATTTTTGAAAAGTAGAAGAGTTCAAATACCTCTATATATACGGGGTGTTTCATTTAAAAAAATTTAATAACTGTGAATTTAAATGAGGAAATTTTTATACAACACCCTGTATTGGTAATGCATAATTTCTGCATCACTGTAACAAAACTTGTAATAAAATAAAACATTTTTGAGAAAACCGCATGTTTTTATGATTAGGCGTTTACAAATTATAAGCTAATTATAGGGGCTACTTTTCATTGGGACACCCTGTACTTGTAAAATCTTTTCGTTTATTTAATGAAGATACCTAGGTATATTTAGGTTTAAATAAATACTGGTACTTCCCTGTAACATTTTTAAATTAATACTGGTAACATTTTTTTCTCTAGCTTAATGTTGGGTCAATTTTCAAAATCTTGCTGTTGTACTTTGTAATAAATACTTTGTATAAAAGAAAATTAGGTAGACCGCTCCCTCATTTTACATCTTATTACATCTATTCTTTATACAGGGTGTTTGTAAATTGCATGCACATATTAAAACTGGTTAAACTATATGCTTAATAAAAACTATTGTATAAATAATTTTTTCAAAATAGCGTATAATTACCGAGTAATTAATTTTTGAAAATTGTTGCTAAATAAGATACACGCCTCTGAAATGTTGAGAGGGTCAGTTACAAATTTAAAGCGATCAGCTGTGGATCGGCGGATTTCTTTCAACGTTGCCATGTTTTATTTGTTAATTTGAAAAATAAGACATTTTTAAAGAATGTGTTTCTTTTCATTTAAAGGATTAGAATTACTTTAGATACTAATAATCATACTAGTAATCGGTTAATATTTAAAAATTGAAGTATTTTTCATTTAATTCAGATGCAATAATCAATTGAGTAATTTTAAACAAATCGACTCGCGCGATACGATCCGTAAAGTTGTAATATCGACACAATAATAATTGATAAATGAAAAATCATGTCTCAAAAGAATTTATTTATTACTTACTACTTATTAGAAGCACATCAATTAATTAACTCATTTTGATCAAACGCGTCTGCCATTGCATTGCTCCAAGAATCAGAACACTAAACTAAGAACAAACTAAACTTGAAGAATAATAAGAAGTTAAACACTATTAAACAAATCACTTAAAAGAACTATCTATTTGACCACGAGGTTAACAACCCTACAAAACAATACGCACTAGAAAACATTCGGCTAGATTTTTTGAAGGCCGCCAGGCGGAGGGAGAAATTTGCACGTCACATCGCATAAATTATCTTTTACAAGGGTAATAAAGCGATTTCTTTAGTTACTACACAAAGATATAGACGCAACCAGTTCGTGCGTTGATTTGCCTTTGCCGATTTGAAAAATACATAAAAATTTGTAAATTTGTTAAGTGTGAACTTTTATCAAGTTTGAGTTTTTGTGTTTGTTAGTTTTTGGTTCTTTTCGCAGAAGAGCAGAAGCTTGTATTGAAATTAATGGTGGACACTTAATTGTTTAACAATTAATCACAACAATTATTGTTGTGATACTTTGTAAGGATACCTAGATAATCATGAAGATTTTGGGTAAGTTTAATTTATTTAAGGAATAGGGTTCCTTAGTTTTTAATGTATTCAATGTTTCCGAAATTCATGACCTATTTTCGAATATTTTGCAAAACATTCTTTTATGAAATTCAACCATTTTTAAAATGATTAATTTTAGTATACCTAGTTGGTTTGACGATATTACGGAAAAATTATCACATTATTTCGTTTTATAAACATTTTACAACACTGTTCGTTCAACGCGCTCCCAGTCGCTTATGTAGAATACGCGTAGACAATACGACGTAGAGTTTGGGGCGGATAAATGTTAAATTGCCCCAAATTTAAACATTTGAATTAAAAAAAAATAATAACGCCAAATCACTTTTAGAGGTATTCCTGACATGTGGTTGAAATATGTGCATGCAATTTACAAACACCCTGTATTTTATAGAACTTTTATTATGCCTGTTCAGATAAGCTTCGGAATACTTACTGGTAAGTAGGCAACTCATTTTACATTTCTTTGATTCAAATTAACTCTCCATTACAGTCAGCGACAGCAGTTATGCGGGTAAAGGCAATGATTCATCAAGTCCTAAATTAAAAGAAGAAATATTAAAGGAGTTTCCATCGGCCGAAATAAGCGCAATAAAAATCGTACCAGACGATTTGCAGGAAATTAAATCGACTCTAACAGAATGGTTCGACTTGAAAATTAACGTAATATTCACAACAGGCAATCTACCAGACATGATCTTTGCTATGATCACCAGTAGCTTGAAGATCATTCCAATGGCGATGATCTCCAGACCCTTGAGCTATATTAGAGACAACACGATGATAGTAAATCTGCCGGGAAGCCCTGAAATGGTTTCGGAATGCTTCGGTATCATCAAGGAAGTCTTACCCCGCGCTTTGGAGCTCCTAACAGAACAAAAAAAATCTGTGGTTTCTGGTCATGGAGCCATGCAAAGCGACTCAGGAGCATCCGTTGTCCCAACCACCAGCCTTAGTAAGGTAATTTATAAAATTAACAGCTTCGACATCAGCGAAGGTACTATTACTCAATTCGAAGACTCAATTTGTCTTTATTTTTGTAGGTGAAACTGGCTCCATTAAGAAAATACTACTACCCTATTATCGATGTTGAATTAGCTTCTGCTATTATTGAGGATGTTTGTTCTGATGTAGAGGAAACCACAGAAACGGTGCATTCGGAGAGATCGTTTAATCGAATTGCAGCAGAAGATTTTCGTGCTGAAGAATCGATTCCTTTATTTGCAACTTCGATTATAGATGGTTACGCTGTTAAATGGAGCGATGACAAAGGAATACGTGTTGTGAAGAATGTTGCAACTGCAGGAGATAATGTATGTAGATACATTTAAGAGATTTCTAAAAAATGAGCTCATTAGAATTGTAATAAATTAAGTTTGTAATGTTGCAGCCAATCGATGAAGTTCTGCAGTCAGGCGAAGCGAAAAGAATATCGATGGGAGATCCAATTCCTGCGGGAGCAGACGCAGTGGTACCAGTGAAAGATACTTCAGTTGTTGAATATTCGATTGATGGTTCTGAAGTAATTAAGGTGAAAATCAAAAGAACACCCGACTACAATGAAAACATAAGGTAAGGGAAAATTTTTAAATACAATTGTGGAATATCTAGTAATTTTTTTAGAGAAATCGGAAGCGACGTATCGAAGAATTCTTTGGTTTTAAAAAAAGGCGAACGTATCAAACATTTCTCTCTTGGAGTTTTAGCCATGTTAGGAAAAACAAATATTTTGGTTTATAAGTAAGTTGAATTTTTCAGTTTCCTAAAAGTTCCCCCCTTTTTATTTGTTTATTTATTTATTTATTTATTTATTTATTTATTTACCAGGAGAAATACATGTCATAACAGAACATGTCCTATAGAGATAAATAATTATCTGTACATAGGCCCGGCATCAAAACAAACACATACAAACATATACTTACAACTAAGAATATTGCACAAAAATATTCTAAATTGAAAAAACAGCAATAACAAAAACATCCAAATTTATCAAAAATTAACAACAGTTCCATATCGAATAAATAAATTAAAATGTCAGTCTCAACAAACTATATACTATATGAAAACGACAAATATCTAATGTATCATATGTGCACATTCCAATTACATCAAAATCCAACTAAAAATTCTAATAATTAAGCTTTATCCAAGTCTTTAGCTTATTTTTAACAGTAACTCTATTAAAGTTTAGAGCCTTTAACTCACTGGGTAGTGAATTAAATGCTCTAATGGCAATCAGCTCACTGTTCTTTTCGCTGACAGCTAATCTTGTTTTTGGCAAACTATACCTCTACTTCTTGTTTTTTCTTGTGAGTGGCGGTACGTGTTTTTTAAATTATTGTATTCACTATATAGAGATTCAAGTACAAACATCTGAGACAAATTCAGTGGCGGAACAAAAGGCTAATCACCACTTCCAGTTACAATCTTCAGGATTCTATCTTGGAGTTTTTGCAACAGATTTAAACTTGTTTTATATGCTTCTCGCTCATGCAATGATACCGTAGGTTATGCAACTATGAAGTAGTGCATAGTAAACTCTTAACAAGTTTTGAGTTGACAATATTTTCGAAATCTTTTTGAAGACAAATACCAAGAATTTTGTTTTTTTTAGCACATAATCAATGTGCACATTCCATTTTAGATTGTAATCAATAATTACCCCTAAATACTTATAAAATTCGACTCTTTTGAGATTCTTATTGTCAATTTCCACATCTAGCAAACTTGGCACACTATCACTGTAGTTACCAAAGGCAATAAAAACTGTTTTATCAACATTTAGAGATAGTTTGTTTAATGCCTTTTCAAGATCCAAGATCAATGATCAATGATCAATGCCAAGATCAATGATTTTTACAATTTAGATTTAAGTCTAAGTAGTTTTCTAAACCATTAATTAAATAATTTTTACTCAGATTGTTACACCTATACAATGCAGAGATTTTCAATACTCTTTTGCCATCAATTTTCAACTCAGAACTTAGGATACCCAGTTCATTGACTTTTTCATTGGAAACATTATAGGAGACATTTTTTTTATATATATAACAACTTCATCATTTTGATTGAGCGTGCTATTGTTGTAAAAAATTTGATAACCATCTAAACCAAAAAACTGATAATATTCCAAGTTCCAAGTTTCAGTACATACTATGACAATTGGTTTAATCTCAAGGCTCTCTAAGAATACCTCAAGTTTCTCAAAATTAGCATTAAGACTCCTAATATTAACATAAAGTATCAAATTTTTATTTCCGAAACAATCATTATTAAAATCCGCAACGCTAGGATAGCTATTTTCAATTTTTATAATGTCTAATATATTAAAGTTTAATTGTAAACCCATTAATTAGTCGACTGGGGAGTGCAGGCTTGGTTAGACATTGGTCCTGTCATCGTTGACATTCTTATAGTCGTCATAGAAGCTTCCCTGGTTCTTCTCTTTGGCGGTAATGGTGCTTTACCATCGAAAGCTGGTAAAGTAGGTTGTACTGGATAGTCGGTTAGCTGAATATGATTTTGAATCTTCTTTTTTAATATCTCACATTTTTCATAGTCATTCGCCATATGGTTCACATTATAATTCTTCTTGAAATTCAAGTTCATAAACTTACAATTGACACATTTTATCTGATTTGGCTCTGCGCACATTTCAGTCGGGTGCACATCAGCGCATCTCAAGCAGATCTCTGTATTATTACACTTTTTTGTATTATGCCCAAAACGACCACATTTGTAACACGGTTTTAGGTTAATACAGTCATATACCCGGCAACTTTGACAACTTTGGCAACTTTGCTACTTCAAGCAGTATACTTGATGTTTTTGCCTTTTCATTGGTATATGAATGTACCATTTTACACTTGTTTACGTACGATTTAAAATTTCTTTCATTTATGTCTTTAACTATATCTTTCATGCTAGTACTTTCGTACTTGATATCAACAACTTTTATAATGGGGTTCTTGATTGATTCTTTTTTGACACTACAAGTATTAGGCATCTCTTTATGTAACATTTTTTCAACCGTATTAGCACTCTCCTCATTCATACAATGAATAATAATTTCTTCTTCATTCTTGACAATTAATTTTTTAGTTTGTATAGACTTGTCCTTTATCAGATAGTTCGTTACCATTTGTTTGATGTTAGATTTCGTATCTTTGGAAGATTTTTTTATAATAATTTTTAGGCACTTTTTTCAGCTTTGGCTTCACATTAATAACCACATCAGCTTACGACTTTTTAACAATTTTATTTTCATTTTCGTTTTTTAGTTTTTCTATCTGTTCCTTTAAGATGGTTTTTTTCTTGAAGTTCCACGTTCAATTGCCTAAGCAGGTTAAGTTCAACTTGCACAGCATCTAAAACACCACCGTCACGATGTATTGCCTTATTCACTGACACTTCACTTAATAACTCTTGTCTAATTTCTTCCTTTTGTTTCGATTTAATTTCTGATATGATTATTCTGGCTTGTTTGTTTAGTACGACATCATCCTTTTTTAAGGTTAGTTTGACCTCTGCATGTTCCGAACAGAGTACTAAAGTATCTGTTATAAACTTTACGTTATTACACTTTTTGAAATCATTTACATGATATATATTTTCACAAATTTTACAAACAACTGCGGATACCCTTGTTGTTGGGTGGCACTTGTAATATCGTTCAGGAGCGCGATCAGGCGGTTCTTTATCATTCGACGCCATACTTATTAATTGTGAAACTTTACTTTAATACATTTTTTTTCTAGACGCCCTTCTATAGGAATCATGTCAATTGACAATGATATTTGTGAACCTAAAGAAGAACTAGCCCCTGGCAAAATCAAAGATGCAAATAAATGCACCATAATTAATTTGCTTAAAAATTTCCATTATGAAGCAAACGATTGTGGTATAGCTAAAGACAAGTAATAATTAATCCTGATGTATTTGATCCTTTTTTAATACAATAATTTTTAGTCCTGATGCAATAAAGCAAGCTCTTGAACAAAGTTTTACTTGTAACGATGTTATTATAACGAACAGTTCAATGGGAGATTTGGACATGTTGAAACGGGTTCTCGTCGAAGATTTTCAAGCTACTATATATTTTTACAGAGTAAACATGAAATCCGGGTAAGTCAAAGTTTCGTAACTTGAAAGATTTCAATGATTAAATGATTATCATTTTGTTATAGAAAATACACGACCTTTGCGACACTTATGTATAATGAAACATGGAAAATAGTGTTTGGCCTAACGGGTAATATATTTTCCTGTGCAGTAACTTGTATATTATTCGTTATTCCTGCTCTACGCTTAATGGAAAAATCTCTCTACGAACGTTTTTTAACTAGTTCTATATCACCAAATTCATTTGATGTAGTAAGTAAAAATTTTGTTAACAGTGAAATAATTATATTTGAAATACGTTTTGTTTGAAATAACTAAGCTTCACTTTTTCCTAAAAACTTTATTTTTCTAATACAATCCGTTCGCTATCAGGAGATACTAATAAAACCTAAATTTGCAAATAATATGAAAAGTAGGTAATTAATATGTAAAATACATCAGGCGTGAATTAATGAAAAAAATCATAAAATTCCAAAACGTTACCGCTTTACATTGTATAATAGTTATGTTTATTTTACTTTATTAGTTCTCTCAGTATACAGGGTATTACCTGTTACTAGGTTGTATTTATTTGTTAGTGCCCCTATAAATTACTGCTTTATTATTTTTTTTATTATTTCTTAATAGAAAACAGAGTATAGAATATAATATTACAATAAATTTTATTTTTTAGCATTCGTTACCATATAATAATGATGATTGTCTAGAGTATCGACTAGTTAAAGTAAATAGGACTTTGACAACTGCAGAGGAAGTACCAGGCGTATTAGGTTATTTAGATAAAGCAAACGGTTTACTTATAGTTGAGCCAAAGAAAGATTACTCAAGTAGAATTTTTTATGAAAACTATAGCAATCTTTACAATGTAATATTATTTCATGAGAATTATTATCAGTGAAATGGGCTGTATTATTAAATACAATTTCTGTTGCTTCTTCTAATTTTAAAATATTACCAATACGTTCTTTTGATCAGTTAACAGTTCTTTTAATTTTTTCAGTTTCAGTTTGTAATAAAATATTTAATTAGTATTTTTGCTTTATTTAATCCTTATTGAAAGATTGTTTTTTGTGTTCTGTAAATACATAAATATGTTCTTTATATCCTTTATATCCTTTATATCCTTTATATCCTGAATATGCCAGTATGTTGCTGGTTCAAAATGTATACTTTTCCCAAAAAATGAACCAAATCGAAATAACTACCATAAAGATACAGGGCGATTCATTCCGAAACGGAAAGATTTTAACCCTATATAGAGGTCACCCAGGGGATCCCAAAAAACCTATATAGTATGGGTCTTACGCTCTTTATAACCGAGTTACAGGGCGTTTTTTGAATTTAGCCCGTTTCTTTTAGGGCTTATAACTTTTGAATCACTCAGTATAATTATTTCATATTTTTCACAGATAATCTACATCTTTTTGAACAATTTATCGATACACTAAAAAATTCAAAATCCAGGTCCGGCTTAATAAAAATTATTAAAGTTTGACTATCCCCAAAACAACACCCTGTACATTGAATTTTTAAATATTGAATTGCAAATTTGGAAAGAGCACAAATAACTGAATATTACCATCAACTTTTTACTTTTGCGCACGCCGTTTTACTACCAACATTTTAACGTTAAAATTACATTATTAGAATTAATTAATAATTATTTTTTCATGTTAAAATTAAGTTTACTCAACTTTTTCATAGAAATTCCTTTAATAAACCGAATGAATTTGAATTAACATTTACAAAAATCAATAAAAATCGTTATTACAGATCCGCCCTTAAGAAATTTTAAATAAGTCAAAATTATTTATTAATTAACGATTGTAACAAACATGGCACACTAGCAACCACCATTACACTCATCAGCTCCCACTGCATACACAACCGCTCGCTAGAAACACTGGGATAGCGTGGGGAGAGGGCTTATAAGCGCGACACCACCAACATCAAGCATGATTTGCATCCGAAACCTCGGGACGGAACGAATCACTTAAAGCGTCCGCTATCTGTGGTCATTTAAGATTATAGCTATATGTTCATATTTATTGTAACAACATACTCTTCGTTCGTTTTTATTATAAACTTTAAAAACCAGATCGGTTTCTAATTTCGCCCATAACAACTGGCGCCCAACTAAGTGGCCGAAACACGGAATCGGGATATTTTTTTTTCTCTCCACGAGAAAGTTACAAATAAAGGAAAATTTCACAATGTCGTTTTCGAGAGAAGACATCACGCATCTAGTCACCACCCTCGTCCAAACACTGAACGCGACTAAAACGGAGAACAAAACCTTCTCACAATGCCCGGTTAAATTCAAGGGAAGTCTGGGAAGTACGGACATGTGTACGGTCGAACATTTCCTTAGAGCAGCCACTATCTACAAGGAAGGAGAAGGAATTTCAGACCTTAAAGCGTTGGAAGGATTACCCATGGTATTGGACGACGACGCAGCTACCTGGTGGGAAGGCACCAAGTCACAAGCGACAACTTGGGCAGAAGCTTGCACTTTAATCAGACAGGCCTTCGCTCCCAAGAAACCCGTCTTCAAAATACTCCGTGAGATTCACGATAACATACAAGTAAAGGACGCGACTACGGCTAATTACATATCACAGCAACGTATAAAAGTAGCACGCTTACTAGAATCATACGAACTCCCGGAAACATTCCAACTCGACCTCGTCTACGGAGGAATTTTGTCGGAGATCAGAGAACGCCTACCTAGAACCTCCGTCAGAACCTTCAGGGATCTCGTAGAAGGAGCCACGGCCATCGAAGAAATGATGAAGGAACGTCGACAAGACTTGGATACCTCAGATAGAAAATCTGACGAACGAATAAAACGATGCAGCTACTGCCGATACCCGGGGCACACGGTCCTAGAATGCAGACGCCGCCAACGAGAACTATCCCACGATGGAATAAAATCGGAAATATCAAAATCTATGGGAAAGGATGACTCAAACGTTACCACCACCACTTCTACCGGAACTATTTTGAAACAACCATTGTCCTGTTACGGATGCCAAAAACCGGGAGTAATACGGAGTAAATGCCCGGACTGTAACACGAAAAAGCAGGTACAACCGACGTATCGTTTTTGCGCAATAGATGTCAAACCCAAGATAGCAAAAATTAGAAGCCGACCCGCAGTCTCAATAAATATCGCTGGGATCGAGGGAACCGCATACCTAGACACTTGCGCTAGAATTTCCATTGCCAGTCATTCTCTTTACGTATTACTGCTAGAAGACGGACACCGATTTCTAGAAACGTCTGCAGAAATAGCCTTTGCGGACGGCACTCCGCATAACGAGAAAATGCTCATTACAACGGTGTATGTAATTTTACAGAAACGTACCATACCCGTAACATTCGCAGTTCTACCAAATGCCCGGAAGAATCACACGCTTCTAGGCATCGACTTTATCGAGGACAACGGTATATGCATTATGGAACCATGGAAGAAGTGGTTTTTCGCGGATCAACCGGAAACGCTATATCCCTGTCTACAACTAGACGCCCCTTTTGCTCCGCTACCCGTAATCAATACACTGTCGATACAAACAGCCGAACCACATCCCAGTATGAAAGCTTCACCCACTGACGAAAGGCGACCGGACCACACCGATAAATCTACCGACCTTATGGAAATGACGCTCGAGGAGTTACGAGATTACTACGCTATTCCTAATATGGAAACACCCGTCCCCAAGGAGGAAAACCCATATGAGTTGCAAGAAATTGGAAACTATGGCCCGAATCCACTATATAAGAGACGACGTCAGGCACAGATAGAGCGAGGAAAATACCGCGCACCAAGCAGTCCGGAGCGCGGAGAAATGGAAACCAGGTCCTTTTGGCTATTTACCACATCGCCAGTAAAAAGAAAATTGGATATTGGGACAGTAAGCATCCTCCAATTACGAGAAGACGAAGGTACCAGTCTTAGTGAAAAGCAAATACACCAGATGGATAACCTCATCGAAGAATACGCCGACGTTTTTGAAGAACAAGGCCCGCCAACACCATTCGCAACGCACTACATAGATACGGGAACCCACAAACCAGTAGCAGTTCCACCGTATCGAATGCCTCCAATAAAAACAGAAGCTCTCAAAAGGGAAATCAATGAACTACTATTACATGATATCATCGAAGATTGTGATAGCGCTTGGGCCGCCCCTGTAGTAATGGTTCCTAAGAAGGATGGAGGATGGCGTCTATGTGTTGACTATCGTGCACTTAACGCCATCACCACGTCCAGTTCGTATCCACTCCCACGACTGGATGATTTACTTCATGCCGCGAAAAGTACACCGTATATGACAACAATGGATTTGCGTGCTGGATATTGGCAAATACCAATTCACCCCGAAGACCAAGACAAAACCACCTTTGTTTGTCCTTTCGGGATGTACAGATTCAAAAGAATGCCTTTTGGACTTCGTGGAGCCCCGGCCACTTTCCAACGGCTAATCGACAGATTTCGATCAGGCCTAGGAGATATCATTATACTCGCTTACTTGGATGATTTAATCGTATTATCCGAAAATTTCGAAAAACATTTGGAAGAACTAAGAGCAATATTGACAAAGTTGCAACAATACAAACTACGCTTGAACAGAGATAAATGTCATTTCGCAAAGGATGAAATACACTATCTGGGGCATATACTAACAAAGGAAGGTATCGGTACAAACCCTAGTAAGATAACAGCAATCCTTGAAAGACCATCACCCAGAAATCTAAAAGAACTCATGTCATTTCTACAAACGTGCTCTTGGTATCGAAGATACATACCTCAATTCGCTATGATCAGCCGACCCCTTAGTCAATTATCAAAGAAAAATGCAACATGGACATGGGGCACCGCTCAACAGGACGCGTTCGAAAAATTGAAAACTCTTCTCACCACACCTCCCATTCTGATGCAGGCAGATCCAAATAAGCCGTATGTTGTACGTACAGACGCAAGCCAATACGCAATCGGAGCAGCCTTACTACAGGGGGAGGGACTAACCGAAAGACCCGTAGAATATGCAAGTAGACTGCTAAACGACGCGGAGAAAAATTACTCCACCACTGAGCGCGAAGCACTAGCACTTGTATGGGCCGTTAATAAATTTCGCAGATATCTCGAAGAACAGACGACCATAGCCATTACCGATCACCAAGCACTAAAATGGTTAATGACGTTTAAGTCACCCAGTGGAAGACTGGCTCGATGGGCACTTCAATTACAACCCTATTCGCTTTCCATTCAATATACGCCCGGAAAGGCTAACGTACTTGCTGACACGCTTTCACGACCACAAGCACCAGACCACGTATTATCCTCGACATCAAGAACGCACCCCCTCGAGCGACGTTCCTTATTCAACGCGCCCTACCACTTGATTTGATGGCCCGCGTCTTGAGAGCGCACTGTAAAGCTGGCAACATTGCTTGTTATGGTCATTCAAATTCGAAACTCGCGAGGAGCGGGTCGTCGGTTTATTTCTTGGTGTCCTATTAAAAACTATCGGTTATCCGTTTTTCTACCTACACCTTCGATGCGGTATAATAGATAATATCTATTATATCGTTTAACGTGCTTAAATATTAATATATAAATAATTATACATACTACATATATCATGATAAACAAAACAAGACGATTTATCAATGGTTTTCAAACAATTTATTTCTTTACGTGTATAAAAAACAAAAACTTAACATTAACTCTTGCACATAATTTCTAAATTCATAAAATTTTTCAAATTTTGTTTTGCCCGACATTGAATACCTGTTTGAAGAGTTTGGTACGCATTTTGTAATTATTCTACGTATCTCGAAGGTGTATTGTGTCCCATTACAATAAACACTAGATTGATTTTTAATAGATAAATA